AGAAGAACAGGACCGCCGCCCCAGGATTGATCGACGTTACCCATGGACCGAATCAAGGCAATCAGTCTCATGATCGATGTGAAGACAGTACTGCTTGTTGTCAGCTTGTCCTTGTTGCCTATATAAACATCACTTACACTCCACCAACACCAAAGAAGCAAATCAACCCAATCTTTTGCCTTCTCGAAATCTGCAGTGGTATAACAACAGGTATCGGCACCGCAAGCACCATAGCATCGGTAATCGCACCCATTATAGCCGTCGCCTGGTAAACCGCTGGTCGGTCGATGCACTTCTTATCGGTGATTGTGATGTCCCAGCCTGCTCTTACAGGTTTGCACGGGAAGATTGTCGTAAACGTAATCGCAATCGAGGAGCCAATCACCACAAACGACGTAGCCCAGATTGAGAAATGAAACCACTCTTGTGGTGCAAGCCGACGGTAGACGAGAAGCAAAGACATCTTTGCGCCGCATTGGACGGGGTTGTAGAGGATTGGTAGGAGGTAGAGGGCTCGTGCGAACTGGGCGAACTTGGTTATTGGCATCTCCCATCCGTGGGTGCCCATTATACCGCGGATAAAATCCCCTAGACGATCAGGCACGTTAGTCTAGTAGATGTGAGGGTGTTGTGGGCACTGACTTAGTATCAGGGTCTGAAGTACTACAGAAAATACCTGGATCAGTCAGTTTTGTCGGTGTAAGACATGATGTCTCGGGTGATGTTGCTCACATATGCTACCCCTAAACATGCTTCGAGCACATTAGCGAAGGCGTACGAAGTAAGGGGGTCAACATGGCTTACCATCCTCTATCCGTATTGTCTTATGTATAAAACTTCTAACATATACTCTCTGTGCAATGAACAAGACCGTCAAGAAATTGCCAACGCCATAAAGCCAGTATGCTGCTGTAACACTGTTCCGTTGAGGGTTATCAAAGTCGACCTTGTAGCCTTCAGGTGGTGGTATAGCGACAGGAACGCCATTAACGACAGCAGCCATTGTAAGATGAACCAACCAACAAACAAAGTACGTAGCAAGAAGATGTCAAAGCGAAATCACATGCAGGAACGAAGAACGAAAAATATTAGATTCGTAGAAATACACAGCCTCTACGTTCATTCAATCAACTGAGTACGAATTACCTGCATGCATATTATTACTACATCCTATATCGGATATACGGCCCACTCCTGAGGAGAGAGAAAAGAAACGATTGTAAGGATAAAAACCCTAGACATCGGTTAGAAGAGATCAGCGTCTTTCATACATAGTCCAAACTTTATTTATGCGGATGTTACTCTGAGTCAGTAGACGTTGACATATACACCCCTGATCGAAAGATTCCGTGATGAGGGCGGGTCACGACGGTTGAAACGGCATTCTGAGCTCTCGGTGCCCGCGGGTGCGCTAGGGATAGCCCGTTGATGCCTTTCATATACGAAAATATGATCTGAGAGCTGAAATTTGGTTATACTGTTATATGATCACTAAGTGACAGGTCGATGAGAAACCTCAGGAACACAGAACAAGTATCCGTCTCAGCACTTCTTTTTTCGAAATTTACAAGGATGTCTCCATCTGTCAGCATATAGAAACCTCTTGGCAGTTGCCGGGGAGCAGGGTTAACGAAGCCGAATTTCAACGAAGGATTCATGGTGCGGATCCGAGACCTTAGCCTCGGAGAGTACCAAAATTCCGACCAGAATATTCAGGCCCAACTTCGATAGCTTCACAATTTCAGGTTTTCGTAATTGGGCCCCAAGATGGCTATCTCGGAAGATGAAACGGATTCTCTAGTTCCGGACGCTATAAATCTCCTCTTCCAATAGCATGGTAGCGAGATGCCCTACCGAGGTATTTGTTTTCGTACAGGAAGACACCGTCCCAGGACCCTTGCTCTTTTGCTTCTTCAACCCCATTAAATAGTTCCTGTCAAGCATGATGCAAGTGTCAGGAGAATGCAACGTCGAAGGGGTTCTCCCACCAAAGGAGTAATTGATGTACGAAACAGGGCCAGATACCAGGACCCTGGATATCTGTCTATTCCCCATGGAGAACAACAGGACTCCGACAGTCTATCGGCTTCAGTCACATACATAGACAGCCTTGGTTATGTGCCCCTCAGAAGCGTCAGGAACTCAATTCCCTCTCGTTTATTCTTTACCCACAAGCATCCAATCATGACTACCCTTACTCCTCAACCGTCGATCCCTCAGGCCGAAAGCCTCATCGCAGCTGGTCTCGAAGCTCGGATCCTGACGCCCACTGATGCCGAGTTCTCAGCTCGCCAAGAGTCATACTGGTCCAACAGCGCCAAGATCAAGCCCGCTTGTATCGTCCAGCCTCGTACCCCTGAAGAAGTCGCTTCTGTTGTGAAGGCTCTTGTTTCTGCTAGTCAGAAGTTTGCTGTTCGCAGTGGTGGACATACCAACTGGGCTGGGTCGAACAATATTGAGGGTGGTGTTACTATTGATCTTGTTCATTTGAACAATGTGTCTTTTGATGCTGCTACTGAGACAGCTGATATTGGACCTGGTTGTCGATGGAGAGAGGTTTATGCTGAGCTGAGCAAGCACGGCCGTGCTGTTGCTGGAGGTCGGGAGGGCAATGTTGGTGTTGCAGGTCTTCTTCTTGGAGGTGGCAACGCTTTCTTCACAGCTCGTCAAGGCTTTGGATGTGACAACGTTGTGTCGTACCAAGTTGTCCTTGCTAACGGTGATATCATCACCGCCAATGGGAAGAACAACACCGACTTGTACCGCGTACTCAAGGGTGGGTCAAACAACTTCGGTATCATCACCAAGTTCACTATGAAGGCTATCAAGTCTGATAAGGTCTGGGGTGGAATGACTTTCTTCCCTAAGCAAGCTATCCCCGGTGCCATTGAGGCTCTATCCTCTTTCACGGATAACGTTCCCAACGATATTCACAGCAACCTTGTCACCATCTTTACACATATGCCTGATTTCAAAGATGTCGTTGTTGCTACTCTGTATGCCAACATGGAGGGCATTGAGAAGCCTCCGGCGTATGAGAAGTGGCTAGCTCTTCCAGAGATCATGAACACTGTCAAGAACACTACTCTTACTGAAATGGCCTTCGAGTACAACATCCCCGCCAATTTCTAGTAAGTCTATTCATATTTATCTCGTCCACTTTTCAAGCTAACCTTCTAGTGACACCTGGTTCACATGTTGCTTCAAGAACGATACCCGAATCATCACCAAAGCATCAGAGCTCCACGACAAACTTGTCGAAGAACTCAAGGCATTCATCCCCGATGGTAACTTCATCACTCAATGTCTCTTCCAGCCTCTCCCTACACTCTTCGGTCAACGCGGCGTTGAAGCAGGCGGAAACATTATGGGCATGGACCGTCATAAGTCCAACGGCATTCTGTTTCTCGCTGTCGTCATGGCACAGACTGCTGAGCAGGAGGCTTTTGCACGACCAAAGGTCCAGGCCTGGATTAAGGATGTACAAGAGTATGCTGCTACTATTGAAGGGGGCAATCTTGAGTGGACTTATTTGAATTATGCGGATAAGAGTCAGGATCCTCTTGGTAGTTATGGCGCTGAGAATATCAAGAAGATGAAGGATGCGGCAGCCAAGTATGACCCTGATCAGGTTTTCCAGAAGCTGGTCCCTGGAGGATTCAAAATTTCAGATGTCAAGGATGAATAGATACGGCATAACGAATGAGTGCTAGTTGATCTATGATATCAACGACCTATACCAGCCTAACATAGTTAATGGGATCAGGAAGCCTAAATCGAGACCATATATATTTTATGATAAAGCACTTGATATGGACCTATTCTTACTACTCTATTGGCCAAGATCGATACTGTCACCAAAAATGTGCTTCAATGCGGCTAGCTGCGAATACTGTAGGTACAGGGTATCTTCTGTCAGACATCGTAGACTTCTATGTGAGAGACACCAAGCCGATGTGTGCCATGTCCTATGCTTCGAAAGAAATAACATGCATAGTTCCAGTCTGGATAAGAGTGAAGATATTTATTCTGGGAATGGTTTGGCCATTGACCTGAGAGCATTGTCAGATTGACCGCTCATGATACGTTATTTCGATTACTTGTAACGCTTCGACAATTTGCAAGAGTGACTTGTTTGTATATAACTACTATGAATTATGAATGCATTGGTGAAACTGATTGATAGAGCCTTATGAGGGATATGGCCCATCTGCTGTCGTGCAATAACACGGGTAATACCTCCGTTTCTAAGAGGTCTGGCGTCGGCGGCGCCGGGCTATTTCCGTTGATTGACCAGTAGAAGCTGAGTGCTGGAAAACAAGCTTATGGGCAGTAAGCTTAAAACCCAAACCCACTAGGACGCACACCCACTTACGGTCTGTGCAATAAGAGTGGCAGGAACTTTTAATAATGACGACTGGTGCATTGCGTGATTTCAGGAATTCAATACGATCTGCAGTGATTTTGATGTTACCCACCGCCACATCGTCACGTTGGGAGAAGACCTGCCTGCCTGCTGAAGAAGAAGATGGATGGAACAGAACACATCTTGCTGCAACAGAGACGATGGAGTCAATCTATCAATCACTCTGCCACATTGGTTGAGCATATTGCTACAGTACATCTCGAGCATGGCTGGGGACGCCGTGTCCGAGGTGATGAGGGCATCTCCGCAGCCCACAGACCAAGACCAAGACCAATCAGCACATATGCCGTTTGAAAGGTGGTATCGTTGATCGCCAAGGACATTCCCTGTTGCGATGTACCCGACGCCTCATCATGCACCGTCGGGGAGTTCGCTCACTGCAGATCGGCCTTACTTGTGTTAGTGTCCAAGGTCTGGTACTACCTCTCTTCCATAGACGGGTACTTTACTCCAGCCGTTTCTTTTCCTTTGAGTGATTATTCTCGTCATTCTCTTCTCTTCCTGCACTGTAGCATTCTGCGAAATTTCTGCTTGCATTGAGTATCACCATCAGCGATAGCGCATCATCATCATCATGGACAAGACATCTACACTGGAAGACGCAGAACTCCAAACCTCCCGCACGCCAAGCAGACGGCCTTGGCTCGCATCAGCCTTTGGAGGGCCCAACGTCACAATTGGCCCACGAATCGAACCCCTCGCCGAGCACTTGGCGCATATATCAGAAAGCGATAGCACCGCAGCTGAAGATCTCGTCGACAAACAAGTCGCTTCCGAAGCGGGAAATGCTATTCAGTACAGGACATGTTCTTGGCAAAAAACTGCAGGGCTGCTCTTTAGCGAGTACATCGTGCTCTCTATCATGAGCTTCCCTTGGTCGTATAGTCTTCTGGGTCTAGTGCCTGGATTGATCTTGACAGCTGTCATTGCTGGGCTTGTGCTGTACACGAGTCTTGTGCTCTGGGAGTTTTGTCTGCGACATCCCGAGGTTAGAGATGTGTGCGACATTGGGCAGATGATTTGGTGGAATAAGAGATGGGCGTGGTGGTGGACAGCTATTATGTTTGTCCTGAACAATACCTTTATTCAAGCTCTACATGTCTTGGTCGGTGCAATCTACCTCAACACAATGACCGAGGCCGATTCCATATCAGGTTGCAGAACCGTTGCATTCGCTGCAGTAGTCACGGTGATCAGTTGGATCGGGTCGCTTCCTCGCACCTTTAGCATGTTGTCAAAGCTTGGCTTTGCCTCGACGTTTTTTACATTTATTTCCGTCATCTTGGCGACGGCATTTGCAGGCTCTCAGGGTAATCCTGCTGGTTATCCTGAGATGGGTGAACCGATAATCTCAATCTGGACACCAAAGACCACGACACTTGTTACTGGCATGTCGGCCTTCATGAATATGAGCTACACATTTATTGGTCAGACCACAATTCCCAGCTTTATCGCTGAGATGCGTGATCCGAGGTAAGTTGTTGTGTCATTCGATGCAACCGTGATAATTCTGACAAAAGAACAGAGATTTCCCCAAGGCATTATGGGCTTGCACCATGGCTGAGATTGTCACATTCAGCGTTGTCGGGTCTGTCATCTACGTTTACACGGGCAACCAGTACATGGTCACACCAGCATTCGGCGTCCTCACTGATACCTACAAGAAGGTCTCATATTCTTTCATGGTTCCGACCATTATCTTTGTCGGTTGCCTGTATGCAAGTGTCACAGGCCGATTTGTCTTCTTCAGAATGTTTAAGGACTCAGAGCATCTCACATCACACACATTCAAGGGCTGGTTCTGGTGGGGACTGGTGTTGCTGATCAGCTGGGCCGCCTCTTTCTTTATCGCTGAGATCATTCCATTCTTCTCTTCGTGTAAGTGACTACTCTCAGACTTGTGGGTCAGTGCTAATAATTCTCAGTGTTGTCAGTCATGTCGTCGCTGTTCAACTGCTGGTTCGGCTTCATCTTCTGGGCTCTGGCCTACTTCCGTATGCGCAATGCAGATCGCAAGGCCGGAAGGAAGCGAAATACCGTCCTTGACGCTCTTTCAGTAGCGCTAAACGTGGTGATCATGTTGACTGGTGCTTTGTACCTCACACTGGGAACATACGTCAGTGTGCAGGGTATCATAGATCAGTTCCGTGCAGGGCAAGTGAGCAGTGTCTTTTCATGCAAGAGTAATGGGCTTTGAGGGAAATCGGAGTATTATTCTGGCGCTTTGGTTTAGTTTAGCACTTATAGACAATAGACAGGCATATGATGATGACGACAGGTGATTGTTGACAGTAAAGGACTCGTCCCGTATGGCTGCTGTGTCGCTTTTACTGGCTCCCTAGTAGTCAATTCTCTTTATAAGAGATGAATTATTGAACAATGCACGAATGAGAGACGCGGAGTCATTTGATACACACGTTCGAGTCCGATCTGCTGGTGACTGAGAGTTGTTTTGATCTGTTCTTCTGTCACTCTTTCACCTCATGCACGCATTTTCCTCGCGGCAGTTATAATCTGCAAGGATATAGAACAATCGCATCGGATACGTGATTTAACCACGGTGGGAGATCCCGATACATCTTCATTGCCAATTTACCATAGTCTTGTGCTGAGTTCACAGGACACTGTGTCAGCATTTGAAGCCCTGAGAATCATCAAAGCCAACTTACCATCATCCTCGGTTCATTGAAGTGATTAACAGATAAATTATGGCCTTCTTGGCTTTTATCTGATGTTCATGCGCTACCCTCATCCAAATTGCTCCAATATCTCGGGAGTATATTTATCGATGCACGATCACTGCTTATCATGAGTGATGACCGACGCATACGAGACAAAGAGACATGAATTGAGAGACAACATCTATTTGTAAATAAAGCCTCCCTAAATAGTCCTCAATCTCATCCAGATGACTACTTGGGTAGGAGTTAGTGTACTCGGAACGAGATGCCGACTTGGAGATGCCAGTGTCATTAACCCACACTGACATCACTACACAAAGAATGGAACCCAAACTAAGCGACTCATCAATCTCATAATTCACCACTGTTACTAAAGCAGAAACATCAGTGCAAGGAAATAAGCTTAAGTGAAATCCCCAGTGTCAAAGAATGCGGAGCGGCTCCGGATCCGATGTGGATAACTGCCGATAAACGAGACCAAGTCCCACCGAGGATTCTCAATTGATCACTGGAAACAATTCCCATGTTCTAGGGTCCAATTGGATTAAGCACTGAATATAGAGAGTGAATCACTTGTCCGTCATAGAACATGACACTGGTATTCTAGTCATAGAACTCACAGTCGATGCCAAGTCCTGCACACCCACGCCCTTGAACCGAACACTAACATGACATTTGTTAATAGCGCCCAACCCCAACTGTCAACCATTGAACATGCAAATTATTAACCGATTCGGATCCTATTTCCGGGATTATAAATTCTTCTTCCTCCTCCTCCCCACTAACCTTTCCCTCAACCCATCTCAACTCTCATAGCAGTCATCTCATGTTTACTACACTCTTCACACCCTGAGGCATTAGAAAAACTGTACCCTTTTTTGTGATCTACCGTGTTTTGACACACATGACATTTAACGAACACAATGCAGAGGACAGCTGCCTAAAAAACCAGCACGAAAAGCAGGCCATACCCATAACTAACCCCGATGCCCCCCGTGGCGATGCCGTCCCGGCCCCGGACGATGCGGGCCTCGAGACCGGACGTGTAGCGCACCCCAGCGAAGCCAGCACCGACGACAGTGAACCGGACCTCGAATTCCCGGAGGGCGGACTTCAAGCCTGGCTTGTAGTCTTTGGATCCTTTTGTGGAATGTTTTCGATCTACGGTCTCATCAACACCTCTGCGGTTTTTGAGTCGTACTTTTCCGAGAACCAGCTTCGTGATTACTCGTCTTCGCAGATTGGCTGGATCTTCAGTCTTTATCTCTTCCTCGTCTTTCTTGTCGGTATCCAAGTCGGACCTGTTTTTGACAAATACGGTCCTCGACTTATTGTTGCCTCTGGAGGTATACTCATCGCCGCAAGTTTGTTTATTCTCAGCGTTTGCGAGGAATTCTACCAGATCCTTCTTTCATACTCGGTTGTGGGAGGCCTTGGAGGCGCCCTTCTCAATTCACCGTGTTATGCATCTATTGCCCACTGGTTCGACAAGAAACGAGGTCTTGCAACCGGAGTTGCAATGACTGCGGGATCGATTGGCGGCATCATCTTTCCCATCTTTCTACAGAAACTTCTTCCCAGCGTTGGCTTTGCATGGACGACCCGTATCCTGGGCTTCATCATCCTCGGACTCACCGTTCCCGCCACACTCTTCATGCGCTCGCGTCTCCCGCGATCAAACAAGGTGTCCTCGGTCTGGCCAGACTTGAGCATCTTCAAAGACCTAAAGTTCACGTTTTCCGCATGTGGAATCTTCTTTATGGAATGGGGACTCTTCGTGCCGTTGACGTACATCGTGTCTTATGCCGGACGACACTCTGGCGACGCCAACAGCTCTTATACCTTGATTTCGATCCTCAATGCGGGTTCATTGCTTGGTCGTTTTCTCCCCGGTCTTCTAGCTGACAAGATTGGGCGGTTTAATGTCATTCTACTGACGCTTGGTCTCTGCATCATATCGGCTTTTGCTCTGTGGTTGCCAGCCGGAGACTCCAAGGCTATGATCATCGCGTTCGCTGTTGTGTTCGGTTTTGCAAGTGGTAGTAACCTTGGACTCACACCAGTTTGCGTAGGTCAGCTCTGCGATCCTCGCGACTATGGACGATTCATCTCGACGGCTTTCATGGTAGCTAGCTTTGGAACCCTCAGCAGCTTGCCCATTGCTGGTGCCATTCTCGAGGCTGGTGACAAGGGTGACACTGGCTGGACTGCTCTCATCGTGTTTGATGGGCTGTCGTATGTGCTGGCACTCGCCTGTTTCCTTGCCGCCAGGGTGATGGCTGTCGGCTGGGATGTCAAGAGTGTCTACTAAGACGACTCTATTGGAAATGTCGCTCTTCTTTGGAGATGCACGCGATGAACTGAAATGTCATGCGATGCATTGTCTTCAATTGGACGAGTATGAGCGACAGGGAATGGATGGTCCGGTGATGTATTATACCAGCCGATAATCTTTACCGGGACCGAGATATCAACTGATTTTGTTCAAGATGCCTCCTCGGAGTTGTATTGTTACCGCTCAATTGCTGGGAGTAACAATGAGGAATGGGAAAACGATGTCCATTTGGATACTGCTTAGGTAGGTAAACTGACTGTAGTCGCTCTTTGATCATAAGTAGATAGAATTCACTCATTTTGAACAATTGCAAATGTAACATGCTGCGTTCCCACGGGATCAGGTTGTCAATGTCCGCGATTTTTAAACGTAAACTCAAGGAGATGCAAACATTGGAGATACAAGTCCGAAGCAAAAAGAGGGTCTCAGGTCCTCATCATGTCCAATGACGCATCTTCCCGTCGTCTCGCCCTCACCGAGAACCCGCGATTAACCGTATCTCAAAACGCTCACCACGACAGATTCTCCACGCGCTCTTGTGAGTGGCTCTCCTTTACCTTTCAACCCGGATCATCTATCTCCCGCCCTATATCACTCGGCATACTGACTCCGAGACCACCCGTAGCGCAAGGTCAAGCACCAACTGACCTTGTGCGTGTGTCGACCCTTTTTGGCTTAGGCCGTTGAATCCCGGCCACGGGATAATCTTGATACGAACCAAACCACGAACCTCCCGAACGCTCCTGGTATCAACGGTTTTTCCCTTCCAATTCCAAAACCTCAAGTTAATCGTTGCAACAGACAGCGACGTTTCTTTTTCTCTCTCTTCACTCCCTCTCCCCTCCACCCTCCGACATCATGCAGTCCTTCGCCAGAGCCACTCGCGCCTCGGCGCTGCAAAACGTTGGCCGCCGAGCCTATTCTTCGTCGCAGTATGCCCAGACCATCAACAACCTGCGCATCAACGCCGACACCAAGGTCATCTACCAGGGCTTCACCGGAAAGCAGGGAACGTGAGTTGGCGCAATTATCGAATTTCGAGAGGGTATATAAAATTAACGAATGACGTAGTTTCCACGCTCAACAAGCTATCGAATACGGTACGGCCTTCGCTATATCGATGTCACGATGATACATGTGACAAAAAACTGACTCTCGACAAACAGGCACAAAGGTCGTCGGTGGAACAAACCCCAAGAAGGCTGGCCAGACTCACCTCGGCCTCCCTGTCTTCAAGAACGTTGGTGAAGCCGTCAAGGAGACTGGTGCCACTGCTACTGGTCTCTTCGTCCCGTACGTCTAAATCAACCACACACTCCAACGAAAACGACCCCTAACAATTTTTCTCAGTCCTCCTCTGGCCGCCGCCGGTATCGAGGAGGCCCTCGAGGCCGAGATCCCCCTCGTTGTCTGCATCACTGAGGGTATCCCCCAGCACGGTAGGTTTTTTGCAACGTCGATGGAACGTTTTGAAGGTTTCTAACATGGGACCCACTTAGACATGGTTCGCATCACCGACATGCTCAAGACCCAAAGCAAGACTCGTCTCGTCGGACCCAACTGCCCCGGTATCATTGCTCCCGAACAGTGCAAGATCGGTATCATGCCTGGCTTCATCCACAAGCGCGGCCGCATCGGTATCGTCTCTCGTTCAGGTACTCTCACCTACGAGGCCGTCAACCAGACCACCCAGGCCGGTCTTGGTCAGTCTCTCGTTGTCGGGATCGGCGGTGACCCCTTCTCCGGTACCAACTTCATCGACTGCCTCAAGGTCTTCACTGAGGACCCCGACACCGACGGTATCATCATGATTGGTGAGATTGGTGGTTCTGCTGAGGAGGACGCTGCCGAGTTCCTCAAGCAGGCCAACACTGTCAACGGTGGTAAGCCCGTTGTCAGCTTCATCGCTGGTATCTCTGCTCCTCCCGGCCGACGAATGGGTCACGCCGGTGCCATCGTTTCCGGTGGTAAGGGTGGTGCCGACACCAAGATCAAGGCTCTTGAGGACGCTGGTGTCATTGTCGAGCGCTCTCCCGCTGGTCTGGGCAAGGCTCTCTACAACGAGTTCGTCCGCCGCGATCTGCTATAATTTTATAACTTAGCTACGTCTACTATTTGATTCACCCTTGGGAGACAAGATGTGTGAGTCGGGGAGTGAGTTAGTAGAGTCCGGTTCGTTGACCGAGTACTCGCTCATGGAGGGCTATTTGCATCATACTGCATGATTTCTTCGTACGTACCTGATAGAGCAAGGATGGTCTGGCTGGCGCGCAGGCTAGATTGTGGAAAGGCCTTTTGGTGTTCCTTTCCGCAGGCGAGTGTGCCATAACCCTCAGCACGCAATACGCCAACAATGTCACATTACATGAACCATCTAATGTCGAAAAGTGTTTCAAGCTATACAGTATTTGACCATGCTGGAGCATGCACATGTGACAATGCAACGTACAAGAAATTGTGTAGCCGTGCAACCAAGTGAAGAATTGCAAAGACAATGCTATACGTTAACGAAAACAATTAGAAGGCTACGGCTGTGTGTCTCAAATGTTAATAGTTTTGTTAAGTATGGATACAGGGAGGCAGAAAAACTAGAATAATCTTAAGAGTCGAGCAAAAAAGGTTTCAAGGTTGACAATGTAAGGGAAAAGTGCTGAACCTTGATGAGTTGACTGAAAGGAGCTTCCACACAAGCCAATACTTAAAAGTCGGCATTGCAGTCCTTAAAAGCCCTGGTTTTTACAGTCAGAATTTAATGTGAGAAAACCAACAGAAAATAGCAAAGCTACATTACCTACTTATGTTATGTGATTGACTCTACCTTAGTCAATATTCCTTCTCACTCAGTGAAGTCGGAGCTCTACAAAATTGAATAAGCTCTTAGTGACGCAGTCGAAAACATGCAAACCTTTGTTGTGAACCACAGTCAGATAAGGCAAAGTCTTTAGTGAACAAAGTTTTTATTGAAATAAGGTATATATAAAGCAGCATTGTTCAACCACCTCCTCTTCCCATCGACGCACTCATACAAACAAACGTTGAACTTGGATCCAACCATTTTTCGCGGACTTGATCCATGATATTCTATTTTTGAACCCGACCTACCTACACTGCAACCCAACCTAGAGTAACACCCCCCGCAGGACGCTAACTATTAGCGGTCTCAGTGGAGTGACGTCTGCTTCCTACGCCACAGCCTGACAAAAATCAAGGACCCCTCCCTCTCCATCCAATATCACCAACCGAATAGCCTGCCTGACCTGCACAAGACACGACCTGACCTGCAGAAGGCCTGTCTTACGG